CAGGCTACCTCTGTGTAAAAGGAAGTAAAAGAAGCCGAGAACAAGATGTGGGAGGAAAGAATACGGGGAAAATCAGCTTTAACTATGTACAGGGGACGAAAACAAAACAAAAAAAATTATGAAGGATTATTGCTATGATATTTCGCGGGGAGCTCGTTGTCATTCGAGGCTAGACCGGGTATGAGAAAAGGTATATGCGCTATGCCGTATGCCAAGGGGAAGGCGAGACAATAAAACATGTGGTGTATAAGTGTAGAGGGCTTGCTCCCGCTCTCCTGGAGGGGATGACGGATTTAGCCGGAGCGCCATGGTTTAAAAAGGAGAATGGACGAATGAATGATAAGTGTATTTTAATAACATAGAGGAGATTGGAAGGCTGGTGGAGCTTATTTAGGGAAAATTGGATGCCGTACACCTGACACAGCCAAGGACAGGCTGGACCAAGAAAAATGGAGACTCCCTCCCGCGTGGCTACGGCCGAAAATCTGCACCATGTTTTTCAGTTGGCCCGGTACTGGGGTAACGCCGACTAGGTTTGGCTAGAGGAAAATTGGTGGCTCCCTCGACAGGCGGAAGAGGTGTGTGTGTGTGTGGGGGGGGGGGGGGGGGGTAATGTTCTTGGTTTTTCTGTTCCATCTCCAAAAGGTCATCTTGGTGATAGCCCACACCACCTAATGATAGTTACGAAATTGCAGAAGATAAAATTGGCGAAGGAAAGAAATCATACTTTTGGTTCTTAATTTCTAGGCTAGGTGGCGCAAGCTACCACCCGTTATAAATGGTTCAGCCGTTAGCATCCATCCATCCATCCATCGATGAGTTAGTGTCGTTACTATGAAGCGTAGCTTATTTAGTGGCTCTAGGCCGTGCGAAGCCGAAGGAACAGTACCGAGTAAAGCCTCAGGATGGAAGGACTTTGGTACCGAGGGGGTTGATAAAGCCGCTTCATGTTTTAAAAGTAGCGCAATGTGCATCGATACACGAGGCACGTGCAACGTGCATCTCTTAGGAAGATCATGGCGACAAAGCGCAGCACTGAGATAGATTTCAGGCGGGGGATCAATGGCCGGGTGGGCTCGCGCACACCAGCTCGGAGCACGCGGAGCGAAAGCTCGCGCTGCGGAACCCAGGATCCTGGATTCAATCCCTACCCCTACCCGTTTCGATCTGGATGAACATTGTACCGGCGTGCGGTCGTGTATCACTACTGGGTGGTGCACGTTAAAGATCCCGGGCTGACGGTTGTACTGCACTGGCTATTTTTCTCATATACAGCTGGGAGACTAGTTGCCCGTCAGGACAGATTAAGTTCTAGGCTGTATAAACATACAGACACCCCAATTTTAAAAAAAAATTTTTAGGTTTCGGGCGCTTTGTTTTTCCCAAAAGTGGCGCGGGGCACGTTTCTCGAGCATTTGCAGCTTTTGCAGCGGCGAGGACCCCAAACATGGTTTTCAAACCCGACGAGACAAGAAGTGGTAGCCCGAGGAACGCGAGAAGCACGAGCGGACATTCCATTGCTCGGGACAAGTCTGTTTCGGCGCGTCGCCGCAGCGAGGCGCCCGTTACATGACACTTGTCTGCCGCTGTACTTTTTCACTTTCGGCGGCCGCGTCTCGTGGCGATCTGCCAGGTTTTGCCAGTATTAGCGCGGCGCTGTGCCGCAGCGAGGCGCCCGTTATATGACACTTGTCTGCCGCTCTACTTTTTCACTTTCGGCGGCCGCGTCTCGTGGCGATCTGCCAGGTTTTGCCAGTATTAGCGCGGCGCCTCGCCGCAGCGAGGCGCCCGTTATATGACACTTGTCTGCCGCTGTACTTTTTCACTTTCGGCGGCCGCGTCTCGTGGCGATCTGCCAGGTTTTGCCAGTATTAGCGCGGCGCTGTGCCGCAGCGAGGCGCCCGTTATATGACACTTGTCTGCCGCTCTACTTTTTCACTTTCGGCGGCCGCGTCTCGTGGCGATCTGCCAGGTTTTGCCAGTATTAGCGCGGCGCCTCGCCGCAGCGAGGCGCCCGTTATATGACACTTGTCTGCCGCTGTACTTTTTCACTTTCGGCGGCCGCGTCTCGTGGCGATCTGCCAGGTTTTGCCAGTATTAGCGCGGCGCCTCGCCGCAGCGAGGCGCCCGTTATATGACACTTGTCTGCCGCTGTACTTTTTCACTTTCGGCGGCCGCGTCTCGTGGCGATCTGCCAGGTTTTGCCAGTATTAGCGCGGCGCCTCGCCGCAGCGAGGCGCCCGTTATATGACACTTGTCTGCCGCTGTACTTTTTCACTTTCGGCGGCCGCGTCTCGTGGCGATCTGCCAGGTTTTGCCAGTATTAGCGCGGCGCCTCGCCGCAGCGAGGCGCCCGTTATATGACACTTGTCTGCCGCTGTACTTTTTCACTTTCGGCGGCCGCGTCTCGTGGCGATCTGCCAGGTTTTGCCAGTATTAGCGCCGAGATCTTTCAGTGGCGCCCTCTTGCGGTTTTATTCGTGACGTCACGATCAGGATTTGCCTCGCCGTGAGGTCACGAGTCGTTACCCTGTGTACTTACCATGAGTTGGGATCGACAAGTCCGATGGTGTGTTTAAAAAAGTGAAAGCCGTTTACAAATCCCTGTAACGCCGAATTGGAGCGCAGCTCTTGAGGAGGAGGAGTGAAGGGTACTGAGGGGAGGGTAGACCCCTCCCCCTTCTCCTCCTCCTCCCCTCATTCTTTAATATGCTCCGGGGGGGGGGGGGGTGTCACGTGACTTCGGGGAGGGGGTCACGTGACCTCGGGGAGGCGTGACCTGGGGGTGACCTCAAGGCCACGTGACCCCAAAGGTGACCCCCACGTGACCTTGGGGGTCACGTGACCTGGAGGGGTCACGTGACCTCGGGGGGTCACGTGACCTCAGAGGGGTCACGTGACCTGGGGGTCACATGGGGTCACGTGACCTTGAGATGACCTTGGAAGGGGTCACGTGACCTCGGGGGTCACGTGACCTTGGGGAGGCGACCACGTGACCTCGGGGGTCACGTGACCTCAGAGGGGTCACGTGACTTGGGGGTCACGTGACCTTCAAAGGGTCACGTGGGGTCATCTTGGAGTCACGTGACCTTGAGATGACCTTGGAAGGGGTCACGTGACCTCGAGGGGTCACGTGACCTTCAGGGGGTCACGTGGGGTCACGTGACCTTGAGATGACCTTGGGAGGGGTCACGTGACCTTGGGGGTCACGTGACCTTGGGATGACCTTGGTTACGCCGACGCCGACGCCGACGCCGACGGCGACGGCGACGCCAACGGCGACGCCGACGGCGACGCCGCTCAAGCCGGGAACGGGCCCCTAAGAGCTGCGCTCTAAAACCCCACTGTAAGCAAGAAGCCATCGCATACCGAAACTAACACCGTCGAAGTTGACAGTCTGAGAATGCTCTTATGCCCGTGGTTTGGCCGATCGTGGAAAGCTGACTGCAGTGACGCTTTTGGTCGCGCACGTCGCTAATAGAGGAGGCTATGGTTTAGAGTGCCTTCATACACACGCGCTTTTGCTTGAGTGGTGACATCTCAGCCATTTTGCCGCCCTATCGTTTTTTTTATGCATTTTCAAGTGCGCGCAATCCGGTGTCACTCAGCTCGAGCGCGTAGCTCTGGCTAATGCATACACGCCATTTTACCGCCCAAGTCACGCACCGAGTGCGCGAGAGCGTCACGCGCTGACACACTCGGGGCGACAATGGATGTCTTTACCCTGAGACAAACAGACATGTAGGCACCCTACTATGGTTCAACACGATCTGCCTCACGCGGATGCCGCCGCTTTTTCCACTATACTCAATGTTCAAGTTTACTGTACTTCCACCGTGCTACGCACACCATGAAACTTTTCATTCGCAATTGATGGTAAGTGCCCTCACGGCACTCATTGTCCACAGACGCAAATAGACCCTTCGCTAAGTTACTCAAGCAACAAAGAGAATATTGGGAATGTAAATACACGCGCTGGGACGTGCTCGCCTTTCCTACAGAAAAAGGGTCGAAGTAAACACCCAACATGAAGTGTCCGTGGGACGCACGTGCGAAGTGCCCTTCGTTTTAAATTTTTGCTTCCGAACAGTTAGAGCTGAAGACACCAACACCCGCAACGGGTGTACCTATGTTCCTGGCATTCTTTTTCATGTTTGGGTATTTAGGCAAAAGGTATATTAAAATATTAGTCGACGGATAGATTGTTGACGAGCACATACGTCCGAGTGACAACCCAAGCTGCACACATGTCGTATGAACATGCATGGAACATCCCTGGAATGTTAGGACCTCCTAAAGACATTTCCATGACTAGATGTGCTACTAGGGAAAGTGCTCCTGTCCAATGCGTGAGCTGGGTTCGGCTGGCGTGCTTGAGCACCGCGGATAGATCGCAGTAAGAAGCGGAGATCCTTTGAAGGAAAAGAGGTAAGAATTATCCCACTATATTTTATTTTAACTTTTTGTACCGAAAAAGGGAGGCTTTTTGTTTTCTACCCTGTCTACTAGTTTTATTTTGATCACTAAAGGATAAACCATTTGTGAAATCCCAACGTGAAATCATTTATCTCAGCACAAAATTCATTTCATGGTTCCTTTAACACACTCAGCCACCTATCTCCCCTAACGATTATAGTGGCAGACACGAAGGCTAGCCGCCTTTGCATCTCACTCTCTCCCTTCAGTCATGATGAAGAGCGTCGACTGCTTCTCGCGCAGTGTTTCGAGGTTGAACGCTGGCGTTCGGCGTTCGAACAGTGAGTGGAAACAAAGGCAGCTAGCATTTGCGTCTCCCCGTGATCCTTCAAATCAGAGCTGTGCAGTCTGACGTCCCCGCACGCTTTCACATCCTCCTCACTCTCAGTTTATGTCCTTTTACAACGGCGTCTCCATCTGGAACGAGCGATCGAAACCCTATGACCATCTGCAATGTCTAACGCTAGACAAACATTATCCAAGGGCTTTGCCCTTTCCGTAGGTCACGTAAAGAATGGAATTACCCTTTGCTCGATCTGTTTCCCTTTCAGATTTAAAGATACGTGAAGTTCATCAGCGATGACTGAACTTTTCGACAGATGCAGGGTTAAATGCTCGTCAACGCGGACAATCTTCTTGGCGTCCAGCGACCTTTCCTCAATGACCATGGGATACACAATCCGGGGTCCGTTGACGGCTGCAAAGAAAATGTGGGCATTTTGAAAAAGGTTTCATCAAAGGCCCTGGAACGAAGGCACCGAAACGAAACAAGAGGCAATGCAAAAACAAACGAACAATGAGGCTTTTAATACACGGTTGCTTTAAGCTGAAGTCACTCCGCTCATCCATTACATAACGACAGGTTGTCGCTGTAGACATGATGGCAGAGTTTTCTGCGGATATTCGTCAAGCATATTCGAAGCTCCCTTGCTTCTCATCTTCACATATGTGCAGACAGTTTTTGCATAACCAATGCGATAATGCCGTAAACAGACATGTACACGCGTTACTCGAAAAAGTAACTAAATATTGTTACTCGTTACTGATTCTCAAAAGGAACGCGTTACTTTACCTCAAATGTAACCAGTTAGCTTTCTCGTTGCTTTGACGACAAAACACACAACTATTCTTGTTTCATGCTTTATTGTATTTTGTTTCGGTAGTTATCGCACTTAAGCTGTATCTGCCTGTCCAAGTTTTCATCAGTTATGTTTCCCCGCTTTCTCGAGAATACATCTCCGGCAACGCTGAAATGTCGCTCCACTGACGCGCTCGAAAGAACGGCAGTGTTGTGCTTCTCGAAAAGCTGGCGAGTCTAGCATTCCCTTCTCTCTTTTGTTATCTCTGCTTTTAAAGTTCCAAGTTGACAATGGGCTCTGTGCCTTCCCCTGCTGGCAACCTCCGGGTTTACATTCTGTCTCTACACGATTCTAGAAGGTTCAACCATCGAACCCTATTGTGTTCGCTGGGTGAAGGACCTTCACAGCTGTAAAGTTCTACTGACGTGTTCAACAATAAACGTTCCTATAATGCCATGAAGTTCAGTTGCCTTTCGGGTTGCCCATCTGCCTTTGTCGCAATAAACGCATACTCAGGTTCCAAGTAAAACGAGACTGTCTAAACGGTGTTGTACATTCTACTCCTCCAAAGTAACTAGATACCGTTACTCGTTAATTGGCCTTAGAAGTAACGAAGTACGTTAGCCGTTCCTTTTCGAAAAAGTAACTAAATGCGTTACTCGTTACCGAAAAAAGTTACTAGTTAGAAGTAACTCGTTACGTACATGTCTGACCGTGATACAAGAAAGACCACGCCACAGCCAGTGTTTGCAGACAGTTTTTTTCATGTTGTATTGGCAGAGTGACTGCGTTCTAATTTTTTTTCGCTAGATTAAATGAAATATCTGGTTGAAGTGACCAACATTGAAGCGTAATTAAATAGCGCCTCATTAAAATCAATCTCATAAATGCCCGTTCACACATATGCGTTTAACTACGACCGACTGAGGCAAGACCGGCTTTTTAAGGTGATAATGCAATTAAATGCAAAGGTGCAAGCGAGTTGGACAATAATGACGAAAATAATTGCTAGAGAAGGGGAACAAGGGGGACAAAGGACAAACACAAATCTGAGAACACAGCTAGGTGACTGGTGTGCGAACGAAAAAACCCGCCTGGTCCTGGCATCGAACCAGGGACCTCTCCAGGAACCAGGAGTTAGACGTCAGTTTGCTCTGCTGACGTCTAACTCCTGGTTAGCTCAGTATAAGTGGTGACAAAACGTTTATAGAGAATGCCTTTCTTGAATATTATAAACAGCTATTTGGAGGCTGCCAGCAGCAGATTAACACGGATGAGATTGACAGCTTACTCCAAGGAACACCACAGCTTACAGATGAAGAAAAAGAGTGGTTGGAGGAACCAATTACGCTCGGAGAAATAGAACGCGCAATAGATGGTTTGCCGGCGCATAAAACGCCCGGACCTGACGGCATAAGTGCCGAATTTTATCAAAAGTTCAAAGATTTAGTAGCCCCTTTTTTTCTGGAAGTCTTTCGCGAGGCGTATGAATTCAAAGCATTACCACCTTCCTTTCTGAAAACGTATACTGTGCTTATACCGAAAGGCACTGACGCGAATGCGGCAAGGCGCGTAAGTGAGTACCGACCGATCACTTTATGCAACGTCGATTATAACATTTTTGCACGGGTTTTAACTAAGAGACTCCAGCAAGTCATATGTAATTTAGTAGGTGAACACCAAAAATGTGGCATACGGGGAAGGTGTATCCAAACAAACATACATGTCGCACGAACAATTTTAGACACTGTTAGCAACGAAGGAGGCCAAGTGGCGATGCTGCAGATAGACTTACAGAAGGCCTTTGATCGTGTCCGACACGAGGTGCTCTGGAAAGTGCTAGAACGCGGTAATGTAGGGGCAGTTCTTTTGGAGGGAGCACGCATGTCGTACGCTGGGTGTGTTACACAATTAGTTATCAATAATTCTTTGACCCCTAAAATACCTGTATCTTCCTCCGTGAGACAGGGGTGTCCCATGTCACCGTTGTTGTTTGCGTTGTACTTAGAGCCTTTTTGTCTGAGTGTTATTCAAAGTGAAAAAGTGCACGGTTTTAGAATGGACTCATTTGAGACAAAAGTGTTGTCTTACGCAGATGATATTGCCTTATTTTGTAGTGACAAAAGAAGCGTAGAGGAAGTTTTAAAACTGACACAGTCATTTTGCGCCTCCACGGGTGCCGTAGTGAACCTCGATAAGTGCTCCGGCGTTTGGCACGGTACCTGGGCTACAACACCAGCTTTGTACGAAGGTATTCGATGGCAGTGCACCCCGTGCAAGTATCTGGGAGTCCCACTACAGCACCTGAGGAAAACAAAGCCTTACTGGGAAAATGCTGTTGAGGACATAAAGAAACGCACCGCCTCATGGCGTAATCGTGACCTGTCTATTTTTACGCGAGCAACCGTGTGTAACATCTTCCTGACCGCGAAGATTTGGTATGTCCTACAGGTGCTATGCTGCCCCAGAATCTATATCCAGAAGATGCACCGCGTGTTCGCACTATTTATCTGGTTGTCATCAAGCGAGCCGATGTGTCGGGACAATCTGTTTCGTCGTGTGTCCAAGGGAGGGGTTGGACTGTCGCATCTTTTTATTCGTCAAACTGTGTCGCGGTTTCTTTTTCTGCGTGATCAGCGACACCCCCTTTTACGAACGATGTTTCAGACAAGGCTCAGGGACGCCCTACCGTCCTTTTTTGTCGCGTCAGACTCGGGGCCCCCAGCCAAACCAGTTGGGTTTATAAAGGAAGTTATAGAAGCCTTTCATTTTTTGGACGTAAGATTTTCACGGGAATATTTATCAACAGTATCGCGCAAAAAGTTGACGCGCGACCTCCTCGAGTTGTTATTCCCTGCTCCGTTGTATAGACTTCCTTATGTTTCGTGTCCGGGACAAGATGTTCTTGCCCGGGTAAAGAAAATGTGCGTCCCGCCTTGTGTCAAAACCTTTTTCTTCCGCCTCCATAGTGAAACGTTGCCTGTGAAGGTATGGCTCGATAGACGAGGCATTTACGTCCCATGGAGTGTAAATTGTCTACTTTGCAAACAACCGGAGACGATTGAACATGCATTCTTGTACTGCTGGGATGCAGTGCTCTTCTGGGACGTTTTGCAGCGGACTTTGAAAAAGGATTTACAGGTCAATCCTTTTTCAATTCGCTTCCTCCCGGTGGAAAAGCATCAAAGCGTACCCTATGATATGTTTATGGTATTAGGATTGCATAGCCTTTGGAAGTCTCGCATGGCGGTGCGCCACGCAGAGCAGCACCCTAAGTCGGCCCGCCTGTTTTTTGTTGAACTTGTTGTCCAAGTGAAGAGCGTTGTTGAACGTTTTGAAACCCCGCCAGAGTGGTTTAACCTGTTAGAAGAACTAACAGGAATGAAGGAATTTTAATCCTACGGACGGCTCCAAGTCGGAGTACATGGGTTTTTAATATGTGATGTGCGACTTGTGCGCAATAAAGAGAAAAAAAAAAAAAAAAATCCTGGTTAGCTCAGTTGGTAGAGCGCTCCACTGGAAATGGGGAGGTCCCTGGTTCGATGCCAAGACTAGGCGGATATTTTCGGTCGCGCATCAGTCACCTAGCTGTGTTCGCAGATTTGTGGTGTTTGTCCTTTGTCCGCCTTTCTCCTCTTCTCCAGGGAGTGTTTTCGCCATTATTGTCCAGCTCGCTTGCGCCATTGCATTTAATTGCATTTTCACCTTAAAAAGCCGGTCTTTGGCTCAGTCGGTAGCAGCAGTGATTTACAAAGTAGAAATAACCGAAATGGAAAGTAGCTGAGTAAATGACTAACTACCATAAAAAAGTAGCGAATTACTTTTGAAGATACTTTTATATTTTTATGGTAACAAGAAAGTACACGAATATAAACCAACTAGTGCTCTGACACAAATGCTTTAATAGCTCGTTCTCCTTGTGCGTGCCTAATAGTTTTGAAGTTTTTTTTTTTTTCGACAATGATGTACTCTGGTTTTATCATTTATACTTCGAGGTTTAGCACGGCCTAAGCTTGATTTCGCAGACAATGTTTGATTGTTTAGTGTTGCGTAAAGTACATTTAAAATGTACTTGAAGTTTTTGTTTGTTTTGTTTCTATGAGTTTATTTGAGACAGGCTTACAGAAAGTGTCAGGGGGCATGGCTAAAGGCACTTTGAAGTGCCTGAAGAGGCTACGCCACCACGAGTAAAGTACAGAGTAAATGAGAGGTTATGTACTTCAAGCACATAATCTCAAGTACACCGGGTGCAATGTACTTGAAGTAAAGTGTTGTAAATACAATGTGCATTCAAAGTAAGGTAGAATTACTATTTAACACTATACTTTATGATGCCCTTTCGTCCCTTATACACCAACTAATGTTTACAAACAAACCGAAGCGCCCCTAGCGGACGCCACCGGCGCCGCGCATGCGCGGTGGACGGTGGGCAAGAAGCCCGCCGTCGCCCATAACAAACCATTGGAATGCGATGTTGTCGGCGTCGGTGGGTGGTCCCCGTGCTCTTTTTCGCGTTGGAATTGCTGATTCTACGTCCTCCTAACAATATCTGACTGCTTGAGCGGCTTCAGCAAAATTAACGAGGCAAAACTTTGTGTCAATAATGTGACTTGCGGCG